ACTTCCACCTGCACTTCCACCTTGCCAACTCTTCGCCAAGCTCTTTGCCAACTCTCTTCGCCGACTCTCTGCGCCAAGCTCTTTGCCAACTTCCCAGCTCAGTGTGCACCGCTGGACCTCAACCTGGGACCGTTCCAGCTCAGTGTGCACCGCTGGACCTCAACCTGGGATCTGCCCAGCTCAGTGTGCACCTCTGGACCTCAACCGGGGACCTGCCCAGCTCAGTGTGCACTGCTGGACCTCAACCTGGGACCTGCCCAGCTCAGTGTGCACCGCTGGACCTCAACGGCCAGATAGAATGCCAGAAGATATGCCAGATGGAATGTCAGATAGAATGCCAGAAGATCCAGAAGATATGCCAGATAGAATGCCAGAAGGTATGCCAGATAAAGTGCCAGAATGTTTGCCAGATATGCAGATAGAATGCCAGAAGGTATGCCAGATAGAATGCCAGATAAAATGTCAGATAGAATGCCAGAAGATATGCCAGATAAAGTGCCAGAATGTTTGCCAGATAGAATGCCAGAAGATTTGCCAGATACTGCAATATGCCAGAAGATATGCCAGATAGAATGCCAGATAGAATGCCGGAAGATATGCCAGAACATATGCCAGAAGATATGCCAGGTAGAATGCCAGAAGATATGCCAGATAGAATGCCAGAAGGTATGCCAGATAAAGTGCCAGAATGTTTGCCAGATATGCAGATAGAATGCCAGAAGGTATGCCAGATAGAATGCCAGATAAAATGTCAGATAGAGTGCCAGAAGATTTGCCAGTAACAAAATGTATAAATGTCATGGTGGGGGTCACACGAAGTAAAGTAATTTTCATAGGAAAACCATAGGAAAACCATAGGAAAACCATAGGAAAATGCTGGTTTAAGACGACTTTTTATGGTGGTTTAATATGGTTTAATGGGATTTAATGGGATTTACCCTCTGGTAAACATACAGAAAACTATGGAAAATCACCATTTTATAGCTGGGTATATCAACTAACTTTCTATGGCAATTTTCAATAGTTGTTTGTATATTTACCAGAGGGTATCAAGGATAGACGTGTATCTGTCATTTATAATTACTTATGTTTAGTTAATGATCGTTAATGCCATGGGAAGGAGGGCATATTTTATGGTCATGTCATGTCTTTTTCATTGCGCAACCTCGCCGTAAAGGGCACAAAATCTATGGGATATGTAAAATATGTATCCTGGTTGGTGGTTTGGAACATGTTTTATTTTTCCCTATATTGGGAATAGTAACCCCAACTGACTTTCATATACAGAGGGGTAGGGCTCAACCACCAACCAGTATCCAACAATATGAATTGCTGGATTCAATCAATGCAGGAAAACTCTAAAACGGGATTCTGACCGAAGTTTATTCTCATATGGTTTGGTTGAAACCACCAGTCAATACCAATGGGTATGAGGGGGGTTGTATAATTGTGAGTACATGGGTCAGATGGGCACAGATGATGAGGATCTAATCATATCCAAGTCCATGTCAATTCCAGACCAACTCCTGCTTATTGTGTTTTGAAAAGAAGTTCCAGCCATATCAGCAAACCATAGGATCATGCCAATCAGGAAGTAATTAATAACCCATGTCTACTGATATGTTTTTTTCCACTGTTCAAGTGGATATAGCCATTCTCCATAGCCCTGGTGAGAGTACTCATGGCCCAGTGGAAGGGGCCCCATCTCCCAACTCAGGCTTGAAATACCATGCTTAATTATACTCATACCTAGTTTTTTCCACCTCAACTGCACCCCCAAGTCCCAAGTATGGCTAAGACCTAACTATTGTTTATTTCCCCGTAATATCCGTAACCAACCCGGAGTGAACTAGACCAACTTAGGTATCTAATGAGGGCCCCGCATTGATCCATGGCCTGATATCACCAGTTTCGATGCCAGTTTCCTCTCCCAGGCATTGTGGTGGGAGAACCACCGTGGCCTGTGAACACCTTGAGGCACGGCTCCGGTTGCTGAGTGGATGGGTCTGGCGTTTGGTGAGGGTTTTCTAACCCCTCCAGTTATGTTTGGTGGTGATAAACAGCCCATTCACATCCATGAAAACCATAGTTATAAGATGTTACAAGTATCATAATCATAGTTATTGTAATTATGTTCACCAACTTACTATAGTGATATATAGTGACATTATCCCTCATAAACACTACTTAATCAAGATATAATTCAACTTAGCTATCGAACAGGGGCCTCACCTTGTATGTTCATGGGAAAATGAGGGTTCAAACTTTGCGTGGACTTTGGGTATTCTCGGACAAAGCAGAAGAGTTTGTTGTCATGGGTTGTTGATTGGAGTTTGGCCATGATCAATTGTAATTTAAGTAGTAAAAATTAAGAAATCTCAGGTGCAGTCCACATGAATGTGGATGTTGCTGACAGAGAATGTGATTTAACCATCAATACTTGATATTTAACCAGCAAAGCAAGGTGTGGTATAAACAAACACATGGGCCGTAAACCAACATTCATTAGTGATTGACTGCGAAAACGGCCAGGTGAACGGTTAGTCAATATGGCATGTTCTCCAAATGGGAATATGTACATATATAATACATATGATACATATAAGATATTTATATATATATGTAGACACACTTAACGTGTAAATATATATGTGTGTGTGTGCGTACATATTTCATATATCTATTATGTTTTATATATATGGTATATTTAAAATATGTATTATGTTATTTTATTAGTATATTTACTATGTTTGTTGTATTTCGTTTATTTCATTTTTTATGTTTAGTACATTTACTATATTTACTATATTTATAGTATATCTATGTGTATATATATATATTTATACATCTATACATTTATACATGTATACATCTATACATGTCTAAAACTATATATACATCTATACATATGTACATGTATATACATATGTATAAGTACATATACATATTTCCCGAGAGCGTCTACGCGCAGGGTTCTTCCAATAGTGGTGGTCTGTATCTCATATTCTCATCTTCACATCTTCTCATCTTCACATCTTCTCATCTTCTCATCTTCATCTCATCTTCTCATCTTCATCTCATCTTCTCATCTTCACATCTTCTCATCTTCACATCTTCTTCTCATCTTCTCATCTTCATCTCACCTTCTCATCTTCACATCTTATCATCTTCACATCTTCTCATCTTCACATCTTCATCTCATCTTCTCATCTTCACACCTTCTAAACCTCACATCTTCTCATCTTCACATCTTCTCATCTTCACATCCTCTCATCTTCACATCTTCTCATCATCTTAACATCTTCACATCCTCACATCTTCACATCTTCTCATCTTTACATCTTCTCATCTTCACATCTTCTCATCTTCTCATCTTCACGTCTTCACATCTTCTCATCTTCACATCTGCTCATCTTCACATCGTCACATCTTCGCACCTGCTCATCTTCACATCTTCTCATCCTCACATCTTCACATCTTCACATCCTCACATCTTCACATCTTCTCCTCTTGCCTTCTTGCCTCTTGCCCTCACATCTTCACATCTTCTCCTCTTGTCCTCTTGCCCTCTTGCCCTCTCCTTCTTTTCTATTTCTCTTCTGAAGGCGGGGGCAGGGGCAGTGCCAACGAGACGGCACGAAACGCAACCCTTTCGCACGAAATGAGGTTCGATCGCCAAAAACTGAGGTAAAATTGCGATTTCAAAGTGTCCGGCGCAACCTTTTCGCACGAAATGAGGTTCGATCGCCAAAAACTGAGGTAAAATTGCGATTTCAACTTGTCCCGCGCAACCATGTCGCACGAAATGAGGTTCGATCGTCAAAAACTGAGGTAAAATTGCGATTCCCAAGTCGTCCGGCGCAACCCTTTCGCACGAAACGAGGTTCGATCGCCAAAAACTGGTGTAAAATTGCGATTTCAAGTTGTCCCGCGCAACCCTTTCGCACGAAACGAGGTTCGATCGTCAAAAACTGCGGTAAAATTGCGACTCCAAGTCGTCCCGCGCAACGCTTTCGTACGAAATGAGGTTCGATCGTCAAAAACTGAGGTAAAATTGCGATTCCAAGTTGTCCCTCTTGTCCCGCGAACCCTTTCGCATGTGAGCATGGCCGGCCTGTGTGTAAAAGCGTCTGTGTGTAAAAGCGTTTGTCTGTAAAAGTGTTTGTGTCTAAAATTGTTTGTGTGTAAAAGCGTCTGTGTGTAAAAGCTTCTCTGTGTAAAAGCTTCTGTGTGTAAAAGCTTTTGTGTGTAAAAGCGTCTGCGTGTAAAATCTTCTGTGTGTAAAAGCTCCTGTGTGTAAAAGGGTCTGTGTGTAAAAGCGTCTGTGCGTAAACATGTCTATGTGTAAAAGTGTCTGTGTGTAAAAGCGTCTATGTGTAAAAGCTTCTGTGTGCAAAAGCTTTTGTGTGTAAAAGCGTCTGCGTGTAAAAGCTTCTGTGTGTAAAAGCTCCTGTGTGTAAAAGGGTCTGTGTTAAAAGTGTCTGTGTGTAAAAGTGTCTGTGTGTAAAAGCGTCTGTGTGTAATACTGTCTGTGTGTAAAAGCTTCTGTCTGTAAAAGCTTCTGTGGGTAAAAGCTTGTGTGTGTAAAAGCGTTTGTGTAAAAGCAACTGTGTGTAAAAGCGTCTGTGTGTAATACTAAAAGCGCCTGTGTGTAAAAGTGTCTGTGTGTAAAAGTGCCTGTGTGTAAAGGCGTCTGTGTGTAAACATGTCTATGTGTAAAAGCTTCTGTGTGTAAAAGCTTCTGTGTGTAAAAGTTTTTGTGTGTAAAATCGTCTGTGTGTAAAAACTTCTGTGTGTGAAACTGTTTGCGATGCAAACTATTGTCTTGTACTTGTGCTATATTGTCTGGATACTCCTCTTCTCGACTGCCTATAACACATCTTTAATTTATTGTTTTGTAATATGGTGTCTCCATACTAACAAGAGAAGACCCTGCTCCTCTACGCTCTGGGGCCATCCGTCGTCTAGTTTGTGTTGCCGTTGTTTTTGCGTGCCATGGCAGGATCATCTTACCGAACATCATGGCGGATGTCACCAATACCGCCAAGATGATCATGAAGGCTGGAGACAACACCGTTGGATCAATGGATTGCTTGTGGTTTGGAACATGAATTTTACTATTTGGTAATTTAACATAGCTATAGAAAATCACCATTTTCAATAGTTATGTTAAATTACCAGGGGTACTGGGAATTTCATCATCCCAACTGACTGACTCATATTGTTCCATATATTGGGAATAATAATGGTGATTCAGGCTGATTCATAGGGAATTCACCAACCAAAATGGTGGTATTAATAGGAAATACCCTCTGGTAATGTTCCATATATTATGGAAAGCCACATTTTTTGATGGTAAAAACCCATGGTTTCCGGTGAAAATTTTCCCAAGAAAACCAATCCAATGATTGGAACTTATGAATTTTATGATTTTCCATATAATGTGGTTAAAACAATGCCATAAACTACCCATTTTGGAATGGTTTATACCACCTATCTATGGTGACTTGGGGGATGGTTTATTATTGTTTTAACCACATTATTGGGAATGTCATCATCCCAACTGACTGACCCATATTTTTCAGACGGGTAGGTATACCACCAACCAGAGTGTTTGGACAATTTATGTGAAAACATATATGGTAAATGTGTATAAGGAAATAGTATATATAGAGTATAGAGTCATCCCCAAAAAGTAAATCACCATCAGATTAGTAGGGATTTATATATTTTTCCATCTATTTGGGGATGACTATATATATATAAATATCCCTGGTTAAGGGAAAACTTACAGGAAAGCCTGGTATATTTCATTTTCATGGGAAAATCGATGTTTTCAGGTCAAGATGTTCCCTTAAACCCTATTTATTCACAGGATGTTTTTTTAACCTGGAGACTGGGGATATCACTATGTATAGTTTATGGGATGTTTATTATGGGAAGGTTGTCCGACCATGGGATAAATCATGGTTTATAGCTCATAGTTATATAATTAATGATTGTTTAAGTCACTATTTATGTGGCTAACCATAAACTATAAAGCCATCCAGATGGTTTAACGGGATCTATCTTATTTTCCTGATATCTGGAAGAGATTGGTCAGTTGATCTGCCACTATTTTTCCGGAAATTTGACTATCAAGAATAATAGGGAATGGATGGTGAAATAGCTCTGGTCGAATAGTTTGTTTTCTATGGGAATGCTACCGGGGATGTAATCGGTACCTCTCCCAAACTTAAGTTGGGAACATCAGCGAGGAAAACCATCGGCTTGGGATCCGAGAATACCATCACTGGTTGGTGGTTTGGAACATTTTTTATTTTTCCATATATTGGGAATCATCATCCCAACTGACTAATATTTTTCAGAGGGGTTGAAGCCACCAACCAGATCAAGTAAATGGGGATTTCCACTCTGGTAATCAAAGTGGGCTGGCTGGAAAATCAGCGGAGCTTCGCATGGGAAAATACCATCAATCCTGGGAGTTCAGCGTCAAGTTTGTGGGGTAAACCGGGTAAACCGGTGATGGATTGTACAATACTTTAATGCTTTGATCCTTCACAATCCATGAATACCTGGAATTCCGCCAAACGAAATCATGATGTAGTCGATTTCAGTATTTGATTTCTTCATCTGTAGATAGATTCTCCCCGTGTCATAGATTATGTTCCCAGCTATAGAGCTCCATTTATGGCATGTGTTCCCATGAGTTTCCCAGCTACAGACCTCCAATTCGCTGGCAGATTGGCAACTTACCATTGCCCGCTGGTGGCTTCTTCCCCTCGGTGGTCACAGCAGAGCTTGGGGCCCTTGGGGCCCTTGGGGCGGGATCAGCGTCGGATTTGCTGATCCTGTTGCTGGGTCAAAACCATGGTAGCCCTGTAGTTCACATCAATTCATAGCTGGGATTTATGGATGTTCATCCCAGTAAAAATGGTATTTTCATAGGTATTGATCCATAGCCATATATATATAAATGTGTCAGATATCATTCGGATCTTATAATTATAGTAATGATATGTAATGATTTAATATAACTTAATGGGATAATAGCTGGTTGGTGGTGACTGGAACATGACTTTTATGACTTTCCATCCAGTTGGGAATAATAATCCCAACTGACTTTCATATTTTTCAGAGGGGTTTAACCACCAACCAGTATAAATGGGATGATTCTAGTGATGTTTACTGGGAAAATATGACCTGCTCATATCTTTTAATGGCGATGTTTCTCATAATTTCTATGAAACATTGTGAAACAGAACAGGCTAAATTGGCCTTTTATGGCCATTGTGCGAGGATATATGCAACAAAAATGTTGGTTTTATGATCAGAATCCCATCTTCAGCGGCCAGGGCTTGGGAGCAGATCCTGTTTGATGGCAGGGGTTGTTTGAGAATAGGATACCCTATTCCATCCTATGGCATTTCATGGTTCATCATCATTTCCGAAAACTCAAATTGCAATATAAGTTTTTCACCATGTGTTTGACCGTATTTTCAGACACATCCAAAAATGAGCTCCAAGCTATTCTAGCTGAATCACATGCATTTTTTGAGGAGGTGGAAAAAAACGGTGCGTTTTTTCATTTTTCCTCTAAAGGTTCCCGGTTTTCCCAAGGGTTTTCCTATGGGCGTTGGGATCCCTTCAATTCCGCTGGTTTTCTGCGCCGAGGATTATGAAAGACGGCGGTTTCTCGCCCTTCTACTGGGACATGCTGAAGGTTGGAATTGCGATTCCGAAGTTTTCCCTCGTGAATTCGACGTGGCATGAAACATGATGGGGTGCCAAAGGTTGGGCTTGCAACCATGGGAACCAGAAGTTGTTTGTTTTAGTGGAATATCGGGGTACATCATGGGATAATGATGTATATATAACCTTCTCCCGTTTTTCTGGGTAGCTTTGAAGTGTACACCAAAGAAGGTCTAGGGATTGGGGTTGCGCAGATGCCTTGCAATAAGTATTGTTGTCCCAAGTACCTTGCCCTGATGCCGGTTCACAATAAACAAAGGAGGAACATCAATGTCTCATAAGGTTGACACATCTATCTTGCTTACTACTTGTTCTTTTCAGGGCAACATCAACATAGCAACCAATAGACTATACTGGTTGGTGGTTTCAAACATGTTTTTCCATTTCATATATGGGATGTCATCCTTCCCATTGACGAACTCATATTTTTCCAGATGGCTATTGCACCACCAAGCAGTTATATATATATATCCCTGGTTGAGGGAAAACTGAAACCAGAACGCCTGATATTTCAAGGGAAAATCGATGGTTTCAGGTTAAGATGTTCCCTTAAACCCTATGTAATGTTATGTACAGATTGAATCAAGCGTCACATGATTGAGAGACGAAGAACTCAAGTAGACCTGTCTGAGTGAATTATATCGACCTCACTGACTGAGATCATGGTAACAGATGGGAATGGTAAAGGCAATGGTTTTTCCAAAAACTGGCTATGCAAACTCCAATCATCATAATTTGAACTACAATCATCATATTTGTCCTATAAAAATGTCCTATTTGCGCAAACTACAATCATCATGATTTGTCTTACAAAAAAATACAAACTTGGGGATATACCAGATTGTAGGCTGGACAAGAACCATTTCAGGCTTTTAGAATGACCTGGTACGTGGTTGAATGGGGGTGTGATAAGCCACGACAGGAATACCTACCAACCACTATGCAATGGGATGCTTAAATGGCTTAAATGCACTTCCCGGGGTCCACCTAACTTAGCTATGGTTTCCTTATTATGTCCCTATGTTTTCCCAATATTGAACCCAGTTACCTGATATATGCGGGTTTCAAACGACCAACAGGAAGGGGAATGAATTCACCGAAAAAACCAGGCCAACGCCATTGCCAACCTCAATGGTGGAAGCGCCTTGGTGAATTCTAAGTGGGTGCCTGAATTTTGTTTCCATAGATGTTTTCTTTTTTGTATGTATATGATATGTATATATTATGATATATATATATATAATTATATATATATACATATTCATTTATTTTAGAAGTGTCAGGGGACCTACTGACCAGGAACAGGGCTGATCCTCCAACTATTTTTGATGATCCTAGAGATGTTATATATGATGCACTATATAATATATATATATATATTAGATTGGAATTGGTCTATATCCACAGTTATACACATTCTTTAAATACGTATGTATACATAAATGTATTCCATGGTCAAATTAGATGGTAATGGCGGTAATGGCCATACGCCTCACACTGGAATCCAACCCTTTGACGGGCTGCGCGCGGTGCCGGTGTCCGCAATCTCCCAAGCACAGGTGGCCGGTTGAACCTCTCTTGCACTGATAGTTCATCCACACGAGCGAAATCCAGAGTGGAAACAACATTGTGTTGGTGAATGGCTTTGTTCAAAACATGCATGGGTAGATATGTACTGTACAAATGAAAACCATGAACTATGGATCTATGCTATAGATTATATGGATACTTCCCAGTTGTTGCATGGTACATGGGTTGAAGGTTTTTCAGATGGGAATTATTGAATTTGAACTGCAAAGGTGGGTCAGACCTCAGCATTCAACTCACCAAAAGAGGAATACAATCCATAAAGACTGGTGGTACAGGTGTATCAACTATCTGACAGAATATGATTTTTAAAGGGAGGGGCCTTTTCTGTGGGCAGAAAATGAGATGTCGATGGCGGCTTTTGGTTTTAGAACATACATTACGGCTTTTCCGTTATGTACCCTCTGGTAAACTAACATAACTATGGAAAATCACCATTTTTACTTGGTAAATTAACTATAAATTGCCATTTTCAAGAGCTTTTTGTATGTTTACCAGAGGGTAATGCTAATCCATTCATGATCATCCCAAAGAAGTTGAGTAACTCCCCAAACCAGGCAGAAAAAAAATCCACCAACGCTTTTGATGAAGCCACAGGGAAAACCATGGGGAATTCCAACGCCAGCGTTTGCCGATTCCCATTTGAACTGGGTGAACCTTTGACCTACTGACCAGGAACAGGGTTGATCTTCCGAGTATGTTTGATGATCCTACAGATGGCATGATGCCCTATATATATACATATGTAGTTGATTGGGAACCATCAGAAGTGATGTTTTAATGGGATATAATAGGGTTACATCATGGGACAATGATGTATATATTACTGGTTGGTGCTTTGGAACATGACTTTTATTTTCATGGAATGTCATCCTTCCCATTGACGAACTCATATTTTTCAGAGGGTAGGTATACCACCAACCAGCTAAAAAACCAATCACCATAATGTGAAATACCCCCTACTTAACCATGGTTAAGTAGGACAAATCCACGTAAGTGGGACTATTTAGGATATGTTTAATATTAGGGGGATGGGATTACTTTAGTCTTTTGATATAAATGGTAAAATGTACTAACCAGCAAACAACATATTTTTTTGGCAGGTATAATCTCACCACCGTTGTTTCACCTTGAAGCCCAACCAAAAAATCCAGTAAAACCTGATCTATTTACCCATGTTTGAAACAAAAAGTCCAAAAACAATATATATATATATATATACATAAATCGATTGAGGGCGACAAAATTCAGGAATCATCACCAAGATATGACTTTGTTGCCTCCAAAAATCAGGTTTTTTGGCTACGCATACCTGGGTCCCGTTTGGCAAGCGAGGCGCGATGCTGTACAAACGACCCCTGATTCTGGCGGCTGCTTTGGTTTCTACCGTCGCCTCCGCAAGTGGATCCGTTGTGAAGTCAGCCAGCCTTTGAAGTCATACGAATATAAGGGAAAAATCGGGATTTAAGCATGACAAATTGGGAGTTTATGGGATATTATGATTTGCGTAGCTTGATATGATATTTTGGGACCTGAAAATGGTGGAACCATCAAACATGGAGATTATGATGATGATGGATAAACAAGAATGAAACCAACTATAAGTTTGAATTCATGTGACACATAACCAGTGATATGATAATTGGGTGTGTCTTTTCCGGCGGCAAAAACCCCGGAAAATGGCATCTAATGGGTGATGATGATGATGATGATGATGATTCATCACGATGAACCAGTGGATTTAGGGCGAATCATGGAGACTTTTCACCAGATTTTCAGGGAAATCTGGCTGCCAGGTGGGAGACGGCAACACAGCACCGTTCCGCGGGGATAGTGGAAACAGGTGCAGCCATGGGTCCAAGTTCTCGAGCCATATCCTGGTTGGTGATGTTAAATAACCCAATCTAAGCCATAGGAAGATATAAAATGGGAAAACGTGGTATGTTTTTTAAATATTTTTTAATGGTTCAGTTAGTTCAGTTGTTGATTGACAGGTGATTTCTCAAGCTTGCGTAGGAGAAACCAAGTTTCATCCCAGAATTTGGACCAAACGTAAACTTGCAGGACCATCCTACATGTCATGGTCAAGTTCCGGGTTTATGATCTTCCAAAAAAATCAAAAAAAACACAACTGTTGGACTTCATGGATTTAAAAAGAAGATATTTCCATGATATTCCCAAATGATGATTCATCTTAATCGCCAAATTCAGCAATCCAAGGAGCTTTTGTGAAGTTTGAAGTCCTGGAAATGATGAAGCTGAAACCATCAGCTATTATCCAAGTGACCAATTTAATCCTATTCGTTATTTTTCATAGTGAACCATCGTTGACACATTCAAAATTAAGTTTATAAATCCTCCAGGATAAGTCTGGTTTTGTTCGCTGTGTTTATCAACACTTATGCCACATCCCACAGGATTTACGCCCGCATTGCCTTTGGAACGACCTTCTACGGCTTTGGAAATCTCGTTTGGGAGCTGAGCCAAATGGAGAGGATCATCCCATAGTCCCGGGAAAAGCCCAGAAATCAGGGACTTACTAACTACAGTGATGGCCCAACGAACAGTTTTTTTTTATATGGGATTATAGCTCCTATAACTGAAGTTATATATCATGAAATAAGTGGCTGAATTCTATGGTTCATGGTAGATATAACTATAGTTTCCATGGGGCTTATAATGGTTATATATCATGAAATCATCCCATTAAAAAAAAACTTAGTCGAGCCATCACTGATAGGTTTCTTATCCGCTTACACATCCGATCCGCCCTCCAAGGAGGTGACAATAATCCCAGCAACCCGCAACCCATCCATTCCCTCCGTAAAACGCACCAGTAAGATTTTTTTTTCGCTTTCAAATTTCACATGAATCTCAAGATGTTTATACATCACACTATCTTCTGTATCTAAGATTGTATCATTTTCCCATGTTGATCAAACCATCGGGGCCTTACTGCCATGGAACCAAGGCTCAGATCAACTTCAAGCTGCCCGTAGGTGCGACCGGCGAAGGATCAGCCATAGAGGATGGTGCCCCCATTTCCGTGATGTGAATGTTGGTTGAAATAACCCCCATTAACAACAGGAAACCTATGGAAATTCTATGGGAAATCATGGTGTTATAAACCCCAGATGTTGGAAATAAGAAACCCCAACTGACTTTCATATTTTTCAGAGGGGTAGGTAGACCGCCAACCAGCATGGTTAAGCCACTTACAAGGCAACTGAACGCTATCTTACGGGGGCCCCATCCTGAATGAGCAAAAAGATCGCCTGGTTGTTGATGGGAAGGGGATTTTTCCTGGATATCCCATATGCTCCATGTATGGAATATTTACCTACATTTACCCCAAAAATTGCCCAACTGTAGGTAAATATTCCATACATGGAGCATCTGGGTATGTTAAGCTGTAGACTATGGTGGATGGGTGATGAAGTTTGGCCGATAGAAAGCGTTTTTGAACTCATGGAAGTGATAGGACCAAAGCAGTTTGGTGTTATATTTACTACAAGATATGATATGATGTGATGTGATGTGGGTTAATATTACTATATATATATATATAGTAACCCCGGAAATATATAGTAAGTCCCAATTACAAGAGATGTCATGATGTGATATGATATGGTGTGATATGGGTGAATATTGTATATATATATACATATAGTAACCCCCAAAACAAAAAAGTAAAGAACCATAAATGAGCCATTGATACAGAAGGATACACTGGTTGATTGGTTATGAGGTGGACTTTTCCAGAGGTGTTAGCCACCAACAAAAAAACGGATATGATATGATTGGCAAATAATGGTCGGTTGATTTGATGGTTGGTCAGTTGTTCCATTGTTTTTTTCCTGGGTGATTGGGACATATTGGGTACTTTTCATGGCTCAGCTTCTTGGAACATAACCATTGGGGACTGGTTGGTATGATACCTGTCCAGTCATATCTAATAATCATATGTGTGGAGATAGGGTCAATACATATATATATAATACACTATACAGTATATATCTTATGATATACAACCAGCCAACTAGTATAATGACATGGGAAAAGTTCGTATGAATATCATTTATGTGAGTAGTGTCAAGTGGACCTGGAAGCAGTGGTTTCCGGGTCGATGGTGTCATGTTGGTCTTGATTCTCAATAGTGATGGCCCAACTAGCAGCTATATGGGGGTAAATGATAGTATATATATATGGTAATAATATAACTAAGCAGTTCCATATATCTATTAAACATTGGTGATGGATTATTTCATGATATATAACCTCAGTTATAGGAGTTATAATGGCATAAAAATAACTGTTAGTTGGGCCATCACTGCAGAAGTCACAAAAGTAGAGTAAACAAAATCACCAGCGCTTACTTCCTGGTGGAGATCAGCGAAAAAGACGAATATTCGCTGACCGAATGATCGGGTCCATCGATCAGGTAGTTTGGATGGCAAATGCACAGCAAGTGCTGGTACTATTGAGCTACCGCTCCGAGGGTGGCTGGTTTGATGACATGGAGCAACATGAAGCATTCGAGAAACTCGGCAGTTGACCTCTAGGTCATCAAGTGAGCATGCCTTTTGGCTCACAAAGGATTATATGGTCATATAATATATGGACATCTTTAGTTCAAGATGTGTCAAACAGGGGAGGACTGTTCACAAATGTTCACGACATGAAACACTCACATCTATCGGAAGTGGCACTGCCAAATCGGATGCATCCTTTCACGAAAGGGCTCTCTCCCCATTCTGCGTTGGCAGGAGTAGGACAGTTGGAATCTCATTTGCAATATTTTTCAATCAGCATGAGCAATCAAACCATCTGTTCTAGTGTGTAAACAATCAGCATCTACATAGTCAAAACCTGGTTCCTCAAGAGTCAACCCCTCCTGTTGGTTGGTGATGAGTTTTGGGTTTCTACTAGCCTTTATTGAGGATTATCATTATCCATGCACTAAAGACCAGCCAGTATATAAATGTGTTGAACACTCCTATGTAAACAGAGGTAGCAGGAAACCCAAACCCATCAGACTTCTTACTGGTGCTAAACGCAGGGAATTTTTGGGAATGATCCAGAATCACTAGTAATCATCCCAGCAACCCCCAGCAACCCATCCATTCCCTGCGTTTTGCAAAGCTCGGAATGGCAATAAGTTTAATATCATGGATATCACGGATAATTCACATATAATCTAGGTGGAAAACCATAGGAAAACCATAGGAAGAAGAAAATATAGGTAAATCACCTATAAACTGGGAAAACCATATCTGGTCAATCTTAGATGGGTAGAAACTAATCCTTTAGTCTTTTGGTCTAATGGGATTATCTACTTCACCAGCTAAGAATTTATTTTTTTGCAGGGTATCTAAGATTCGCACTGTAATAAGCATGAAGCACAAAATCCTAACCACCGCTGTAAACCACTCTTGCACATTATAAACATTAGAAACCAAAGCCACATCGAGTAGTTAAATTCACTTGTCGAAAAGCCGTATGAAGAGCCATTTCGATTTAGAACCAAACGAGTATTATTGGAAATAAGCAAGCGATTTATGAATAACTACAAAGTCGAATTACAATCCACTACCAGAAACCAATGTTGAACTGCGTATTTATCACTGCTAAAACCCAACTATTACCAGTGTCAAGAATAACTATGATGATTCCAAACCATTACAAACAATCACTTGAATCATCATTAATCACTGGTTTTGAAGTCGCCATGTGATTTCCATTTTTTGGCTCCCGGCGACCTATATATAATCAGTTCTCTGCATAACATATTCATGTCATCATCACCTCAGAAGATTACGCAATATCACTCAATGAATACTTGATTAATCGCTTGTTGTTATTACATCGAATATCAACCATAATGACTGATGATGATCATCTCCATTACTCAGTCAATAATGATATTAATATATATATATATTAATCATCAATAATCACCGGCAGCAATCACTATATGTTAATAACAAACAACTATTTTTGGCAATTAATCATTTAACAATCACCAACAATAGCTATCAATCTCCATCAATAACCACTAAATAATCACTCATCATACCGGATTTAATAACAACATCCATTAATTTATATTAACAATAATGAGTGAATTAGAAGTGGCTACAATAATGCATCAGAATCTGCAGAGTCAATTGTCATAATCAACTGTTTGTTTTGCTGTTTTTGATCACTGGTTATTCATATTATAGATTATTATAGATATATCCACAATAATCCATAGTTATGTGAGTTATAAATGCCATTCACTATACATATATATATACATATACACACCATAAAACAGAGTCATTGGAGTTATTGTTCACCAACTTAATATCATCAATCTCCATGTTTGCTAAAAAAAACATCGCAGGCTACTCCTGTGCCACTACACAGCAGGGTGGAAGTGTGGCTCGGACGGCTCGATCCTGAAGGCTGTAACCATTATGCATAGGGTAAAACCAAGAGATACATAGCTAAAGTATAATGGGGGAATGATTGGGGGTGTTACCCTCTAGTAAACTAACATAGCTATATATAGAAAATCAAAATTTGTAATCCAATCATCCAACCAATCATATGATTGGATGTAGTAAAATGCCAATATCATGATTGGATATATTGGATATATCATACATATACAAATATCATCATCATAGGTGTTTTGTTAACATAGCTAAATAAACCACTACCCTCTGGTTATGACTAACAGCTCGCCATGGTATAGATGGTCCATAGAAATAGATGGTTTACCGAACTTTAAAATGGTGATTCTCCATGGCGAACTGTTAGTCATAACCAGATGGTAAATGCCAATCATATGATTGGATGTGCCTGAACAAAAAGAGATTTTTTCTAGGAACAAATCATTTTTCTCATCATCCAATTTGGGGATGGGCTGTTTTAAGTTTTCAGAACAACCCAAAGAGATCCATGAAACTAAGTCAATCTTACATGGATACTTTAATCCTTTAGTTTTTTGGTATTAATGGGAATATCTACTAACCAGCAAAGAATTTATTTTTTTGCAGGGTATCTAAGATTGGCAATGGAAAAAGGAAGAACAACTGATGATTTTCGCATGAAATCTATGAAAGACGTTGGATGAAATTGGCCAGTTACTGGTAAACGTTTACATAGCTATAGAAAATCACCATTTCTTATGGGTAAATCCAATATTTCAATGGCCATTTTCAACAGCAAACCGGTAGTCATTACCAGAGGGTATAGTTTCACCATGGTGAACTTGCCATGGAAAGGGTATCCTCTGGTGGATACAAGTCAAAAAGTAAAAAGATCTCTGCTGGTTTTTCATGGGAAAACCATAGGAAAACCATAGGAAAATGGTGGTTTAAGACGACTTTTTATGGTGGTTTAATGGGATTTAATGGGATTTACCCTCTGGTAAACATACAAAAAACTATTAAAAATGGCCATTTATAGTGGATTTTCCCATTAAAATATATGGTACATCCTATTTTTTTGGTGGTTTGGAACATGAATTTTATTGTCCATAATATATGGGATAATCCTTCCCATTGACTAATATTTTTCAGAGGGGTTGAAACCACCAACCAGATCAGCTTGGACCCGAATTGACTAGAAATCAGGTAAAGATGTGGAAACCCAATCATGATCAACAAGATTCAACAGCCGTATTGTCTGATTTGAAAAAGCAGGACCCCCATATTTCTTTTTGAAGGGAATGATTCTCGGACTTATCACAAAAGCCATTGCAATGCACTGGACTTGCCAAGTGGAATTGATACACTGACTGCATAAAAGCTCCACAGATGTGCAGAAATAAAATTCCATGTGAAACCCTGAAAACTGATCTTCCCATCATATTTGCCGCATTTGCCGTATATTTTTGCTGAAATCCACGTGAAATCCCATAGCCATAGCCATAGATCTTCCAGCTTTTAAGGATCCCACGTTGGGGCCACGGCCACGCCGGCCACGCCCTGAGGTGCCCGATCTGAGTTTGTTGGCCAATCGCTTCCCTTCGACCAAGGGTCGTTTGGTGCGCCGAGATGGGGGGCCAAATGGGGAAACAATGGGGCCCCAAAATCCATGATGTATGGACCAATGGAAAAGTTTCACATGGAAAAAAACCATTGACAAAACACATGTTTTTGATAAAAAAATCATGTTGAAACGAAAATCATAAAGAATTTCCCATTGTTACATCATTGTTACATCATAAAACAACTGGTTGGTGGTTTGGAACAGTGATTATTTTTCCATAATATATGGGAATCATAATCCCAGCTGACTACTATTGTTCAGAGGGGTTGAAAGTTGAAACCACCAACCAGTATTGATCTTGCGGGAAAATGGCACATTTGAGCCCCAAAAAAGGGACTGGATTGAACATGATTGAACCATTGAATTGTTGAGCCGAGTGTTTCCATTTGGAAATCGAGCCATGGATGGCGGCACTCTCCGCCAAGCCAGCATTAACACTGGGTCGCATTTGGCCAATGGTGATTCTTTTTTTTGCGATTTGGCACTAGATTGTGATCTTGGTGTGTCTTGACTCGATGTTCGATCTTGCGGTAGCCTGTGTTTCCAAACCATCTAGTTCAACATAGTTTACAGATCCCAAGGTCCCTTACTCTATGGCTGAAACTTACCCCTTGAAAAAAGGGCTCGGGGTAATAAGATCCCATGATTTCCCATAGATTTCCCATGATTTCCCAGAGATTTCCTTCCCAGAGATTTCCCATGATTTCCCCATTGAAAATCAGGCTTCCATGTAGATTTCCCCATGATTTCCCCGGATCCGTCAACTTACTGGTGCGTTTTACGCAGGGTTGCTGGATGGGTTGCTGGGGGTTGCTGGGATGAAATTACTAGTGATTATTAGGATCATTCCCGAAAATTCCCTGCGTTTAGCACGCACCAGTAAGTCAAAGAATGGGATTACTTATAGCTCACCCTTCAATTTGCCACATTGAGCTATAATGAGTTATAGTTCCTACATTACCTGATTGCAAATGGGACTTTAAAAAAGATCCCATAGATTTCCCATGGATTTCCCTATGATTCCCCAAGACTCCCCAAGGGATCTACAGGTCACCGAAAAAGGCCGTCGCCAGTCGCCATGATAAAAATTGGTCGCCAGGGCGGACTGATTCCTGAAGTCCGGTACCGGAACGTCCCAGTGGCCAGCTGAGATGGGTTCGTCATATTTTTCGTCAACGATGCGAGTTTCAATGAGGGTTAATAGTGGTTAATAGTGGTTAATAGTGGTTAATAGGGGTTAATAGGGGTTAATAGGTGTTAATAGGTGTTAATAGTGGTTAATAGTGGCTAATAGGTGTTAATAGGTGTTAATAGGTGTTAATAGTGGTTAATAGTGGTTGATAGTGGTTAATAGTGGTTATTAATAGGGGTTAATAGGTGTTAATAGTGGTTAAAAGTGGTTAATAGGGGTTAATAGGGGTTAATAGGTGTTAATAGGTGTTAATAGGTGTTAATAGTGGTTAATAGTGGTTAATAGTAGTTATTAATAGGGGTTAATAGGTGTTAATAGTGGTTAATAGTGGTTAATAGGGGGTAATAGGTGTTAATAGGTGTTAATAGTGGTTAATAGTGGTTAATAGTGGTTAATAGGGGTTAATAGGTGTTAATAGTGGTTAATAGTGGTTAATAGTGGTTAATAGTGGTTAATAGGTTTGAATAGGTGTTAATAGTGGTTAATAGTGGTTAATAGTGGTTAATAGTGGTTAATAGTGGTTAATAGTGGTTAATAGTGGTTAATAGGTGTTAATAGGTGTTAATAGTGGTTAATAGTGGTTAATAGTGGTTAATAGTGGTTAATAGTGGTTAATAGTGGTTAATAGTGGTTAATAGTGGTTAATAGTGGTTAATAGGGGTTAATAGGTGTTAATAGGTGTTAGTAGTGGTTAATAGTGGTTAATACGTGTTAGTAGGTGTTAATAGTGGTTAATAGTGGTTAATAGTGGTTAATAGTGGTTAATAGTGCTTAATAGTAGTTAATAGGGGTTAATAGGGGTTAATAGGTGTTAATAGGTGTTAATAGTGGTTAATAGTGGCTAATAGGTGTTAATAGGTGTTAATAGGTGTTAATAGGTGTTAAGTGGTTGATAGTGGTTATTAGTGGTTAATAGTGGTTAATAGTGGTTAATAGGTGTTAATAGTGGTTAATAGTGGTTAATAGGTGTTAATAGGTGTTAATAGGTGTTAATAGTGGTTAATAGTGGTTAATAGTGGTTAGTAGGGGTTAATAGGTGTTAATAGTGGTTAATAGTGGTTAATAGTGGTTAATTAGAGGTGAATAGGTGTTAATTAGTGGTTAATAGTGGTTAATGTGGTAATAGTGGTTAATAGTGGTTACGCTGGTTATAGTGGTTAATAGTGGTTAATGGGTCAATAGTGGGTTAATAGGGGTTATAGGTGTTAATAGGTGTTAATAGTGGTTAATAGTGGTTAATAGGTTGTTTTAATAGGTGTTAATAGGTGTTAATGTGGTTTAATAGTGGTTTAATAGTGGTTTAGTAGGGGTTGAAATAGGTGGAATTAGTGGGTTAATAGTGGTAATAGTGGGTTAAGAGAATTCCCACCTATCTTTCATCAACTTAATCCTCACTCTTTCCTCTTCTTCCACGCGTCTCCCCACCATCCCTCCTTATATTTTTCGTTACACCTTTCCCTTTTATTATTAGACCCGCTTTCGGCCCCAGCTCCCAGGTTAATAGGTGTTAATAGTGGTTAATAGTGGTTAATAGTGGTTAATAGTGGTTAATAGTGGTTAATAGTGGTTAATAGTGGTTAATAGTGGTTAATAGTGGTCAATAGGGGTTAATAGGGGTTAATAGTGGTTAATATTGGTTAATAGGGGTCAATTGATGTTTATATATATATATTATAGTGGTTAATAGTGGTGAACCGTGACTCCCAAACATATCTGGGCAATTCTGGGCAAATTATGTTACGACCGAAGCCTGTTCTCCCGAAGCCTGGAATAAACTGGTGAATTTTAGGGAAATCATCCCCTTTTATGGCCTTAAGATTCAGATGAGTGAACTATTATAATTTACCAAGATCTATTTCACATGAAGATATACATGGGATTTCCATAAATGGGGGATCCGCAAAATGGTTGGTTTCTAGTGGAGCATCCTATTAAAATGGATGCTTTGGTACTCCATTTCAGGAAACCTCCATATATAGATATATTGTTGATGATTGGTTTTTAGATCTATATATAATTGCTGTAACATATATATATATGTATACATAATATGATATTCAATTGTATAGGTAGAGGGAAACTAGTACGTAGTATACAAATCTTACCCTCTGGTAAACTAACATAGCTATGGAAAATCACTATTTTGAATGGGTAAATCCACTATTTCAATGGCCATGTTCAATAGCTTTTTGTATGTTTACCAGGCCGTGTAAATCCCATTAAATCCCATTAAACCACCATAAAAAGTCGTCTTAAACCACCATTTTCCTATAGTTTTCCTATGGTTTTCCTATGGTTTTCCTATGAAAAACCAGCATAAAAATGTTGCGGAGTCACATCGCAGGATCGCACGTCGTCGCATGGCCTTTTTCCTGAGGCCACCCCTGATGTGATGTGTCAGATCACCCTCTTGGAGGACCCGAAAAAACCCGTAGACGCCGGCCGGTTGGCACGTCGTCCACTACTTGGGTTTCAAAGATCCAAAAAAAGTCGAATCCTGAAGAAAGAAAAACCATAGTTTCATACATCCCAAAGACGAAGAGATGGTGGGTTCCACTGTTCGGTGAACTCGCCATGGACACGGTATCCTCTGGTGGAGACCAGTCAGAATGATTGTAAAAAGAGATCTGGTTGGTGGTTTGGAACATGGTTTATTTTTCCATAATATATGGGATGTCATCCTTCCCATTGACTAATATTTTTCAGAGGGGTAGGTCAACCACCAACCAGATAATCATCATGGAAATTTATAACCTATGAAGATAAGCTATGAAAAAGATAGATGGAAATAACATGAAAACCATCTATAATCATCATGTATGTGGAGTTGATAGACTAAAATCTGGAGAATATGATTAATTATGGAATGACAGGATGACTATAGACTTGTTTTTCTTTCTACTATGATTATCTAGAACATGATAGAATCTGGAAATCTAAATTGGTTATAGAATGGTTTTTCTTGAGAATCCCATAGTCTATTTACTTCAGGAACTGTCACCATACATTGATATAAGATGTAGTTGTTGTAACTATGATAAATACATGTAATGCATATCATCCCTATTTGTGGTTGTTAAAGCCTGAATTGTGAGTTGTTAGGTTCATTACCTCAACTGGGTTGCAATCAGATGATTTTGTAAGATGTTCAGCGAATGGTTCGTGAATGGAGCCATAACCATTTGGCTAATGAACAAGCAGAAATGGGGGTTGCAACCATAAGTAACCAACAAAGTGTTGTAGGATGTTGTAGGTGAATCTTTTTCAAAAAAGGTAGATATAGGTAGATGATGGTAGATGATCATAGCGATGACTGAACGGTGTTTGTAGATGAAGTCCGTGTTGCTGGTGAACCGATGTCCTTTTCCCATTGGTTGGTTGATTAATGGAGGAGTTTGAAGGTTTACCCCTTTAACAACAGGTGATGATAGATGGGATTAACCAGCTCCCGGCCCAAATATATTTTTACCAAAAGGACATTATTGGTTATATGTATCATAACATTCATAAACCATAGTTATTGGAGTGAAGTAAACCAACTTAGCTATCTAAATTCGAATGTTTGTTGGTGAACCTCCCATTCTTCAGGGTTCACGATAACGAGCGACTCCCTCGTGGAATTCAGGACATGATCGTCTATGCTCGAACTGCAACCGGGACCGAGAAAAGCCGGTTGCAGGGAGGTCACAACTTGATGGGTACCCTCTGATAAACTAACAAAAAACATGGGAAAATACAATTTTTAATGGGTAAATCAACTATAAATGGCCATGTTCAATAGCTATGTTAAATTACCAGAGGGTAAATCATCGGTCAAATCGTCCATCAGCGAGGATATAATGAGGATACACAAGATTGTTTGAGGTTGTTGGTATATTTTACCTCCCATGTTTGTAGTGATATGGGGCCCGTATATATAACTATGGTTATATTAATCTTACAACTGGAACTGCACTTCCAAGTGCTTCATTCTGCAACTTGGGTGTATGATCAGAACTAGGGCAATAAATGAACAAAGCTCCAAGGTGAACGATATGTTTTTGGGAGTTTCTCTTCAGTTATTGTATGTTTAGCTACAATATTTAAGGAATATGTCAGGTCTCGTTGAAAAAAAACAGTTGTGTTGTTTCAATACCATGTGTAGATGATACATTATGACCAAATAATACGTGGATGGTTCATAATGTTCTAAGATTATATATGTCCATGGATTGCCATTTGAACCATCCTCGTGTTATTTTCAACATGGTCATCAGCATTTGGAGTTCCTGACCCAGCAGAATTCAGCGTTTCGCCACCAGTGGGGTTCAAGTTTGATGAATAGTTGACGGAATATATTTTAGGATCGGAGTGCAGCAGTATCCCAGTAAACATGCATAAACATCCACTTTTGAGAACATGGATTAGTTGGCCATTTTTGGTGTACTTAGTGTCGCAAGAAAATGTTTGAGAGGCTGGGACATCAAGGATGAATAAGAATACAGGGCCGACAGGGCCCCAGGTTAAACCGACGGTGCACAGTTGGTTATGTTTTCTCCATTTCAGCCGTTGGTGATAATTTTTGTTATCCTATATTTTTTGTTCATAAATGTTGCATTTAAGGGATCAGGATTGATGGATTGATGGTAACTTCGGAACCTCATTTTTTCCCGTACAACTGGGATATACCCTTTGGTAAACATACAGAAAACGAACTGGAAAATCACCATTTTTTATGGGTCATTCAACGAACTAAATCACCATTTTCCATAGTTATGGGCCATTTTCAAGTTCGCAAACTGTAAACATTTACCAGGCCGGGTACCGGATGTACTCAAATCAGTCGGATCATCGGTTGCCACTGAGATCTATTTTGTCGAGCTGGTGGTGGACAACCCCGCAACGGCCCTGAAGAAAGACGCGGGGAAGCCCGGGAAGAAAAGGCGCAAACGCTTATGATTAGGGGGGCCTTGTATGCTTGTAATATGACGTGGGGATGGGATTCGGGAGGCTCTATGAAAAATTGGAAGTGTATGTATCATATATATATATAAATTATGCATATGCATGTGTATATATATATATACTCATGAATTGTTTTTTCAAACTGCAGTAGCTTCTACCCCCTGAATCTGGTGGCGGGCCATGACTCCTGCAAAAACCTGTGCTGCGCGGGTCAAACTTGGGGAAGAAATGGATTCATAAAAACGGATCCACCATTGGATTCTTCCCTGAGGATGTCCTGAACCGCTGGATGGTTGGAGTTGTCCACAATGGTTTTGCGCCAGCGCAAGAAATTGCTGCCAGAAGCTCAGAGGGTGCCCCCGGTGGAACGCATCATCTGGGTCTCTTTTTGTTTGGAAAACCACACGATTTCATGGTGACCCTCTGGTAATCAAAGGTGGCAAGAAGATTTCTAGGATTGGATGGAGTTTCAAGGTGAAAATTGAGGAGAGGGATCATTTTCCCATAGTTGCCCTCCAAAAAAATGGGGAGAATTGCGGCGTCAGAGGGATCATTTTCCCATAGTTTCCCCTACTGATGCCCCGCAAAATGCTGGCGTTCAGTTCTTAAGCCCCTGATGGTTTGGTGCTTGGGGATTGCGCCAATCAAAATGCAGGTGCATAGTGGCCACCCCAAGTTAGAAGTTAGAAGTTGGTTTCTAACCCCACCAAACTATAGCTATTTATTCACCATAAACCCTAGTTATTGCAGTGGATTAAACCAACTTAGCTATCTTGAGGGCCCCAGGGCCCCACATTATTATCAACACACATCGAGGGTCAACGTATTTCAAGATTCAGCCACTAAGCCTGGATGCTTTGGATGCTTTGCAGCTCGAAATTTCTGAGCCATAGCCAGATTGATTAGGGAGTTCCTAAAATGGGGGACCCCAAAAGTCATCCAAAACTTGGTGACTTTCAATCGGGCGAAAGCTATGAAAAGCTATGGTCTGGGGTCCCCATTTGTCAGAAAGACCCAGGGTGAGGACGCTGCTATTTTTTGGGGGGGATCCAATAGCTGCTTTGGTGTGAGAACAGCACCGCACGAGCTGTTTCTAGCCCCATAGCCATGCAACTAGCATTTTGCGGGGCAAGCGCAATTTCACCACCATTTCCATGATATGTCAGGTGGTGTTTGTAGACATGGACAGCGGTCAGTGACCGCTCCAATCCCATGGTACAACCTGCCCCTTAGCTCCTGAAACCCATCCAAGATAGTAACCAACAGAAAGGATCAAAACGGAGAACTAGATATTTCCAGGATGCTAGTTCGACGATGGTTTTCCCCATCATTCCCAGGTTTCCAACGGTTTTTCTTTGGGGGTGCCATTATACTGGTGCTTAGTGGGGAATGGATGGGAATGGGGGTTGCTGGGATGATTATTACTAGTGATTATGGATATTTCCCGAAAATTCCCTGCTAAGCACCAGTAAGATTACAATGATGGATTTTCCAGTTAGTTATGTGAAAGTTTACCAGAGGGTAAATCCCATTAAATCCCATTAAACCACCATAAAAACTCACGAAAGCATCTGCTGATGGCATCGGCAGGACCGAAATCTCTCCACCAAGCAGCTGCAGATGTGCAGTGGTTCGACGCGGAAATATTTGCTATGCTTGTCGGGGACGCCCATGTGATAAAACATCGGGGGATTTTGTGATGGAACGCGGTGGAGAAGGATGTGTGACTCCATTGAAATACACATCTGGTTGGTGGTTTGGAGCCATGGAATTTTATGACTTTCCATATATTGGGAATAATACTCCCATGTGACGAACTCCATCATTTTTCAGAGGGGTAGGGCTCAACCACCAACCAGACGTTGAATGCATATTGATAGCTCCAAAATTTGAGGCTTCTTGGCTCTACACTTCGGTGCTCCATATTTCATCAGCATATCAACGTGATGTTCAACCTCCCAAAATGGGGAAATCGGGGGAAATCGGCAGCAATCCCTACTGGGGTGTGGTGAAATCCTTCATTCAAGGGGCCCTTAAGGGGCCCATTTGTAAGGCTATCAAGATATCTAATACTTTTTTTTGGTCAACGTTATTAAGTTACCAATAGTACCGCACAAGGCGGTGGCGGAAGTTTCAAAGATAGGACACTATAGGAGAGGTGAGTTGTTGTGATGCATGGATGGCAGAGCGAATCCACTGATGGACCGAAAGGTGGTTGGAGTTGTGTTTTTTGGAGTGGTTGCAATGGTTGCAGTGGTCACCTCACCCACAACTACTGGATGTAGAGTGGTGTAGTGCAGCTGTAGTTCTAGCTGTAGTGTAGTGTAATTAGTGTGGTGCAGTTGCAGTTGTAGTTGTGGTGTGGTGTAGTGAGTGTAGTGCAATGTAAGGTAGTCTAGTGTTGCGTGCTGTAGTGTAGTCCAGTCTGGTGTAGTGCGGTGTGGTGTAGTGCAGCGCAGTGTAGTGTAGTGTAATGTAGTGTAGTGTAGTTTCAGTTGCCATTGTCGTTGTAGCTGTAGTTAGTGTAGTGTAGCGTAGCGTATTGTAGTGCAGTGTAGTTGCAGCTGTAGTGTAGCGTAGTTGAGTGTAGTGTAGTGCAATGTAGTGAAGTGGAGTGTAGTGCAACTAGTGCAGTGTAGTGTAATGTAGTGTAGTTGTAGCAGTTGTAGCCCCAGTTGTAGTTGCAGTTAGCATAGTGTAGTGTAGTGTAGTGTGGTGTAGTGGAGTGAAGTGGAGTGGAGTGGAGTCTGCCTACCCCCCAACAATAACAGAGACGACTTAATTAGCCCCGTTCATGAGTTCTTTTTTTTATTATTGGGGTCAATAACGTCTTTCCATTGAGGCCAAGTTCTGGTTCCGAACTTGGAGGTGGTCAGAAGGGCACCCAAATCTTCGAAAACCCACTGGGGAGGATCAAAATCACGGCTAGAAAATGAGTGGAACCTCCAAAATTCCAAGTTATTTCGCTGTGAAGAGAACAATAAGAGGAACGTGACCCATAGCCATACATATACATATACATATACATATACATATACATATACACATACACATATACATATACATATACATATACATATACATATACATATCATGTACATATACATATATAATTAAATACTTATATAATATATAATTTATACATACATGAATATTTTTATATATATATGTATATGTGTGTATGGTCACCCCCCCGCCAGGGCCTATATATATATATATTTGCAGACATCCTTGGCCTCTTGTAATCAACCATTCAAACATGGTTTGCTGGATATTTTCCCATTCTTTTCCCAGCTCGAAAACTCCAAACCTCGGCCATGGGCCAAAGCCGCCGTTGCCAGGGAAGACCTGGGCACAGGCTACTCCGATGCGCTCTCTGTACTGGGACACTTGGCAGGTTTGGACTCACCAAAGGATGAGGACAGTTTGAAAGATTATGGTAATTGGTATGATTTTGGGTAATATGATTAATGAGGATATTATGGGATTTATTTGGATAAGAATATTATGATGGGAGCTTCTGGCGATTTAATGGGATTTAACACACTAGCAAACTTGAAATGATGCGATCTTTGTGGGGGATTCTATGGTATTTTTTGGATTTGAGCAACAATTTTGGGAAATGTGGGCAACCCAATGCCATAAACAACTACCATTTGGGGATGATTGAAATCGCACTTATAAAAATGATGGTGACTTGGGGATGGTGACTTTGTTCTGGAGTCATCCTATTTGTATATATACACTGCATGTGTTTGACCATGTTTTTTGGTCAGTTGCTCTTTAGGCTGCTTATTCAAGTAATTGAGGTTTCCAAGAATTGGAGCATTGAGCCAAGATGTTTGCAGATGTAACCAAGAAACACTGTGGTACATCCAACATGTTTCGGATTTTGCCCGGCAATTATTTGGATGTGTGGAACCCTTTTCCCATTGACAAAAGATTGTTCCCCTCCTCTTCAATGGGTTTGCCCACAGATGGGGGATGTGCCAAAAACGGCAATGTCAATGATGTGGTGCCACGATAGCTAAGTTGCTTGAATTCACCACACTGTTGGGTACGATTTTTCAGGGTATACCCTCTGGTAAACATACAGAAAACTATGGAACATCACCATTTTTATTAGGTAAATCAACTATAAATGGGCCATTTTCAATCGCTATGTTAAATTATCAGAGGGTATCAATTTTATAAACCAACCAACAGAACGTTTTTTGGGGGCCCACTATGTATGAAAATATGTGTACAGTGCTTAGTCAAGCATGAGATTTTTTGACGTGTTCCCCTGCATTTGCAGGTACCAAGCCCGGCCTCGGTCCTGTCTGGGGTTTTCCATCAATGGGGGTACCCCTTTATCGCTGGATGGTTTCTGTCCATGGGAAAATCCGAAAATCACATGGATGATGAAAATGGATGAAAATGGGGTATCCCCCATTTAAGGCAACCTCCATAGGGTTTGATGTAGCCAGCACTTTGTCCCCGAGGTAAACTGTCGGACTTTTTCATCGCGTGCGGATGCCAAGGGAACGCAGTTAAGTGGAGGTCTACAACCTATGGAAATGGTGGTTGCTACCGTAACTGGGTGTGTCTTACACATGCTACAGTATTGGTTGTATTATTGACTGATCATTGGTTTTTCCTCCATTTAATTTAATTAATGATCTAATGCTACTGGTTGTCGCAATCTGGTGACTTAAATAACCAACTAGTATAGATATATCTACCATTATCTCATCTCAGATAATCTCTTTTTCGCAAGATGAGCCCTGGGGGAGGATTCAGAATCCCATAGATAATGATACCCTCTGGTAATTTGTTACATAGCTATGGAAGCCATGACCCATAGAAATAGATGATGTACCTATTAAAAGTGATGATTTTCCATGGCCATGTTAAATAACCAAACGGTAATAATAATAACAATAATCACAATAACAATACTAATAACCATAACAATAACAATAACAATAATACTAATAATAGTAATAGTAATATTAATAATGATAATAATAATATTAATTAATAATAAATATATATATATATACATACCCATGATATCACTAAGAAAGATGCAAGATGATAATCACTTACGGATCACCAGTCATCAAAGAATTCATACATCCATCAAGTTTTCCAAATGGCCTTAGCCGAGGCCTTTGCAGTATGGAGTGGGACAACTCAACACCTTGTCCATCTTCTTCCTCACGGAGCAAGAGGCACCGCCAACTGAAGACGACGGGGGAAGTGGAGTTTTCCGTCGTGGGTGCGGGAAAAGAACATGGGAAGTGGAAAGAAAGCCTGAAGAGGCGAACTTTAGGGATTAATCTTCTCAACCATAAATATTCATGTTGGGCAGAATGTGAGTCATACCACAGTTCGTCCGGAGCGGTGGAATGAATCATAGTAAGCGACATAAATTAGTACAAACCACTAGATATACATAGATATACGGTGGTTGCGTGCATGATAAGTTATGTGACAGGGGTTCACTTCCAAGGGACCGGGATATTTGGATTGGCTATGGAGCTTCTTGCAGGATCCTCCCTGCAGGAAGTCGAGAAGCAAATCCTCCAATGCTTCATGTTCCAAATATTCCGGTATTTCAGGTACAGGATGGGGCCCCCAAGATGGCAAAGTTGAGATATAAGTGGCTTAACTATGTTATGGTTTATGGTAGATATAACTATAGTATTCATGGGGTTTATAAACTAACAAAAATAAATCTTAGGGGGGGCCATCCTGTACCTTTGCCAGCATGAACTTTGCAAGCAAAAAAAAGGTGTCTTCGGGCAGTGTTCAAAACGCCTGTTGATTGATGATACCATTTGGTAAACTAACATAGCGAACTGGAAAATCACCATGTTCAGTAAGTAAATCAACTATTTCTATGGGCCATCTTCAATGCTATTTTAAATTAACAGAGGGCCAGAGGGTATGAGGTTCTACTACCCAACATATTGCGAAATGTGGGAATTCACCATGGGATGACAGATGGTTTTGAATACTGCTCAACTCTTATAGGTCTGTATCACCGGGGTTACCAGGGATTAGTACAACATAGTACAACCCAGTTTTCCACCGCTTTGTTTTCTGGAGCAATTGACCAACTATAACCACCTACTGGGATGTACCCTTTGCTAATTTGTTACATAGCTATTGAAAATGGTCATTCCCATTAAAAATTGTGATGTTCCATAGTTTTCTGTATGATTACCAGAGGGTAATAGGAGGCTTCTTCATTGCTCACAGCAGTTTGGTTGCTCCCTCCGCACTGAATCAAAGACAGCCATGTTTTTTCGACTCTGGGTCTGAGACTATCCCTGTTCACACCAAAAAGGTGGATCTATGTATATATATATTATATATATATAAATGTATCTTTAATTATGTGTATATATATATATATGTAATATACATAGTATACATGTGTACCTAGAGGTTGGAACCATCGAAATTTAAAAGCCAATCAATAACCATATAAATGACTGGTAGTTGGAACTATATCCCATATGCTCCATGGTGCCGGAATATTTACCAACATTTGCCCGAACAAAATCACCCAGTTTACAGTTTTTTAGGTAAATATGCCAGCACCATGGAGCATATGGGTATATATACATCATTATACGTATATTCCAGCAGTTAGATTGGAAGATGTTCATTGGATTATATGCGATGAATTATTTTAAGACAGTGGTTTTATTTATGCATGCATGCATTGCATTCCATTCCATTCCATTACATTACATTACATTACATACACACAGAAAGTTCCTTAAAATTCCTTAAAAATCATTAAAAAGCATATATATATATACATATAATATACACACATATTTATAGGTAGGTAGTTGGTCTCATTCTCTAACGCAGGTGGGATCCCTCAGCAACGTCGAGACGGAGGTTTGGGTACGGGCAGCCCAGCCTGGTGCAGGGAAAAGACCTGTTTTGGCCATGGGAAAATGGGAAAAACATTGGATTTAAGGAAATTTTTGGGAATTTATATGAATTTATGAGAATTTCTTTGAATTTATGTTTTTTTTGATTTGATGATGTTCTTTAATGGTGATTTCATACAGATTCAATGGGATTTAAAGGATGTTCAATTGGAAGTGTATGCGGTTTTGTGGTATTTTGATGAGATTTAATGGGATATGACCGACAATTTTAGATACCTAATGTAGAAAACCCAATCATAAACCTCATAACCTCCCATTTGGGCATGGTTTCTACAACGCAAAAAAAACATGGTGATTTTGGGGATGGTTATGGCATTGTGTTTACCACATGTTGTTGGGAACAAGTGTTACCGTGATATGTTTGCCAACCAATCTCGCGACAGCAGTTTGTGACTGAGATGTATCGGGAAGATGAGAGTCCATTGGAGTTTGGGGTTCCAAATGGTGATTTTTTGAGACGCCCAAGCGGCCCTTGGACCACGCTGGGTTCATCGAAAAAAACACACCAAGCGGCCCTGTTGGTGAGAAGCCTTCAAAACTCCATCCATTGTCGGATGAACATCCATAAATCCCAGCTATTTTGGTGTGAACAAAAAAGGGCTGCAGGGTTTTGACACATATCCATAACATCATATCACCCATAGATATAGATAATGTTAGTGAGTATGACCCATATCTAACACTGTATATCCATATCAATTCCAGCATGTCCGTTGGTGAAACAGTGGACTCGACTGATGGTTTCAAGTGTTTTTTTGGCTCATGGGCAAACTCCAGGCTGAGAAGTCGGTGAATTTGGTTTGTTTTCGAATTACTTTGAGGAAAGGGAACCGTATGTTTACGATATCTCATGATATCTCACTAGGCCCACTAGAAATATGAGTTTCTGTTGAGAAGTACCCAAAGTTACCCCTTTGTCAACAATCCTCTCAGGCTAGCATTTGAACCATTCAAAATGGTATATTAACAGGTATATTAAGTTAACTCAATAGTATCTCGTATGCGGATATATGAGGCATATGTATTCGTTAGGGTTATATAACAGGTATCCCAAATGGTTGATATACTAAATGCTTTATGGGTGATCATTTTGACCCATAGGGATATTTGTTAAGCCACCAGTGTACTGGCATGGTGGAGGTGGCAGCAGGCTAGCCATGATAATCGGGATGCAAAGGGGTTGGTAAACCTAGAGAATTCGATGAGGAGTTACATCATCAGCTAGCTGGGAACCCCTTTTGTTGTTTGTCTTTTGACAGTTTTGGACCTTGGATGTGATACAACAAACATGGCTGGATTGACGAAAATTACCAGCAACTTGTAGTGCTCCTGTTGCTCCATGATGAATGATGAGGACTCCTGGGATGGTTTTAATGTATAGGGTACCCTCCGGTTATGTCAAAATAGCTACTGAAAACTACCCCATTTGTAGTTGATTTACCGAACTTAAAATAGGTGATTTTCCAGTTCGCAAACTGTTAGTCTACAAATGCTGGGCGCCAACCACATCTATGTTTACCCGGTACCTCTTTATCCACCCATGTTTGAGGCCCCAAAAGTATCAGGGCCGGGGACCGTGCACCGAGGTTGATGCTCCTTCTGGCTTTGATTTTGGACAGTGCCCCTGAGCGATCGCGCCTGCTGTGATGGTAGGATGAGGGAGAAATTTGGGTGGGAAAGGTCTTTACATGTGGGGTTGTTGAAAATTATCTGGTTGGTGGTTTGGAATATATGGGATAATCCTTCCCATTGATTAATATTTTTCAGAGGGTTGAAACCACCAACCAGTTATGGTAAAAACCGAAGGCCGCAGTGTAATTTGCTAGTTTCCCTATTTAAATTGTATCCAAGTTAGTGCTGAAAGTCTGCAACTTGCTTACAATCATGGCTTGATGGATACATTGCTTCGTCTAGCTTTCGCTGGTTCTCTTAAACCGGAAGTGGCGCTGATGCTAGGGTTGGTTCATGCATTGATGGAGCTGCAAAATCCGCTCTTGTGCACAGTGCTGACACGGCTTGCTGTTTGTAGCCATATGTTTCTATCCTCCATGGTGTGCTTTTGTCTCAACAGCTTTACTCCCCTCATGTGGAGTTTCTCCCGTAGCCATTTGGGCAGCAATTTCTGTCATCAACGTAGCTCTCCATTTCAACTAGCACCAACTCGTCGTTATGGCGCTCACCCTGGCTGCCATTGACGAGCTCCGTCTCAACGTCTCCTTGAGTTCTGCCACCTCACAGTTCCCGGGGCGTTGGGAAGAACTGCGGGATGCCACTCTCAGTACCTTGGACGCAAGATGGGTTGGTGATGTTCAGGGGTTGGTAAGTGTCCACATTTAAGTATCGTTTGGAGACTACCTCCCCAATGGCTGGGTGATATTCGAGGAAGACATTTACCCCTGATTTCCTCTTTCATTGTTGTTATTCCCTCCAGCAATCAAACATGGCAATGGCAAATCCCCACTCATAGATTATTTTCCCAGCTATGTACCTCCATTTAGTGTCGAGATTTCCCGTATGATGATGACCGGAGAGTATTCACTAATATTCCACTACATCTGAATATACCATGATAAAATTATAGTCCAGAACATATTCCACTATATCCCATTATATCCATGCATATCCCCATTATATCCCCATTCTCTTTGGCCTTGTCATGTTTTGAAAACCCTGTGGTTGCCATGAAACCGAGGCGTCCTCCTGGTTCTGTTCCATTTTTCACTTCTCCGCCTCTGGCGCTACTGGCGGTACCTTGCGGGCGGCAACGCCTCATACGAAGCGGTTGCCGCGTCCCCGAAAATCGCGGAGGACCCAGGTCCTCCGAAGGAGGTCCAAGAGACTTCTACGAGGGAAGAGATCTTTTGCCAAAAAGTGCCTTGATTTGCAGAAGTGAAGTGGACTTAATGGTGAATGATGGTTGATGATGATCGATGGTTCAGATACCCTTGTTGATTGGTTATGAAATAGGGAGGAACTATTACCAGGCTTCTTGGAGATTATGAACGAACCAACTAGCTAACCCATATGAATTGGAAACCTATCAAACGACTAGTAGGAGGGAAAAGGAACCTCCTTGGAAGTGCAGTTCCAGCGAACTCTTTGCGTTTCTATTTCATCATAGCTATAGGATGTTTTCTCGGGCTGGGCTTTATCCAACTTGTGGGAGGTTTTTACCATGCTTATATCATGTTATAGCCATAAAAATAAATTCAACTGCCACCCCAAATATGACACTCATGGGACAGGAAAGACTGGGAGTGATAAACTCGTGCAACGTGGCGACAGAATCCAAGAGACTTGGGAAACTATATAAATACTGTAGTACTTCATCTTACATACAAATGATGATACATATCTGATTATATACTATATATATATATACATGGTTGGTGGTTTCAAACATGACTTTTATTTTCCATTTCATATATGGGATGTCATCCTTCCCATTGACCAACTCATATTTTTCAAGATGATTAAAACCACGAACCATACATATATATATATATATGTAGTATACTATAGTATACTATAGTTACAGAGTTACACTATTATACCACCAGTTGATCATTTGTTCAATACATTATCCCATTGGAATCCATATTATATTCCATTAAAATCCATTAAACCCCATTAAATCACCACTAAATCACCATGAAATCCCATGATTTTCCCAACGGATCCGTTGTTTTCGAACCTCCCGAGGTCTTGGCTGCTCAGCAACGGGGCCATTTCTTGGGCGCCGTTCAAATCTTCCGGGACTTTCAGGAGGAGAACTGGGGACACCCCGTTTTTTGGGGGGGGCAAAAAAGGTTCCTTGATTTGGAAACATATGGAAACATATGGAACGGGTGTCCCCAAAAAAAACAAGAATGGAGAAAATTCCTATTACCCTCCAATTATAGTATGCCTTGAAGTGGACTTAATCATGGTTAATTATAGGGTTAATGATGGAAACATATGGAAACATGATTAATTTTATGGTTAATGATGGTTAATAATGGTTAATGATGGTTTAATCATGGTTAATGATGATTTTCCTGGTGGTGTCTTGATGGTTAATGATTGTTTATTGATGCTTAATGATGGTTAATGATGGTTGATGATTGTTAATGATGGTGATTAATGGTTAAGATACAATTGTGGATTGGTTATGAAATAGGGAGGAACTATTACATCTATTACCTAGTTTGTCAATCTGTTAATGTACCATGATCATAAAACATCCAGGGGTGATGTCGCGCGACCTGCTGCCATGACATGACTCGGCAATGTCTCGACTGACTGTTCTGGCAGGAGCGTTTCTGTTGAACTCTGAACTTAATTAGGATAATACTATTTATGGGAACATATATTATAATACTATAGACTATTTATTATGGGAACAATTCTACAAATGGAGTTTTTCCTTATTATCCCAGATGCTCCATGGTGCTAGAATATTTACCTAACATTTCAGTGGTTGAATATGGTTTAATTCTGCTTAATTCTCACATTTTCTCATTATTTCCCTAGCAACTTGCCATTTTTGAACATGGGGTGTCTACCTGGCGCCATACCGACGCTTTGGCAGGAGACGGTTCAATTCAGCCAGGCTCCTTCACTGCTTCTGCGAAGCCTTCGACTGGCAGATGATGCCTCCGGACTTCGGGATCTCTATGAGGCCCAGTTTGTGACTGGTGTCGGGGTAATCTGAACAAGGTGGTGCCCCCCCAGTGATGTGAACGTTGGTTTATAATCCCCATGAATACTTTAGATATACCCCCCAATCAACCCAACAGTTATTGGACTTATTGGCACCAACTTAGCTAACTTTGGGGCACCACCTTGAAGCACCAAGCACGTTAAGAAAAGTGAATCAGAAGCAACATATGAGCCCTGAAGTGAAGCTACAAGGGGCATTTTTTAGGCAGAAACTGCTTGAAATTGGAGAACATAGACTGAGGCCATATGTTGGGTGCCTCCAATTTAGGTACTGTACCTGAAATGTCCCCTGAGAAACAAGTATCAGACTATACATTAGCAGAATATGTTATGTTACATTTCTATACATTTCTTTAATGTAATTTGTTGAAGGCTATCAGAAATTGGCCATGCAAATAATATTCAGGCTCCATCCGAAACTGCTCAGCACAGGCGACGAAGGACCACTTGGAATATTCCAGGACACTGTGGCAGACTGGATTCGTTTTTTCTGAAAATTGGGATAATGGGATTTAATGGGATTTAATGGGATATTGATGGACTACCCTTTGGTAATTTAACAGTTTGCTATTGAAAATGACCATTTATTGACATAAATATAGCTAAATCATCTATATATTATAAATGCTGGCTGGTGGTTTGGAACCATGGATTTTTATGACTTTCCATTCAGAAATGGGAAATTCATCATCCCAACTGACGAAGTCCATGATTTTTCAGAGGGGTAGGGTAGGTATACCACCAACCAGTATTTTACCACCATTTGTTAGATACATTATCCCATTAGAATCCATATTATATTCCACTAAAAGGTATACCACCATAATATATATATATGTGGTCACCCCCCCATGATCTACTTAGCATTTTATTTGGTTTGTCCATGTTATATATATATATATAACCATTATATATATATATCCCCTTAAATGGTATTTTTGATGAATCATCGCCATGGTGAATCGCCCAAAAAGAGAGCCGAATCCGCGAATCCATGGATCGTCAACATTAAATTCAGTGGGGCCTTACCATTAAAAATTGGCTCTTTAATGGGATCGTTCATGGATTTTTTGTATATTTCATGTAATAAACTTCATTGAACATGGACTCATACAATGTGGTGCTCTGTTGGATAGCTGTTTGTTGGTGAACCGTTCACTACAACAGTTGAGTTGATGAATGGGGGATATATCGAATAGGTCAGATTGGGGCTCATGGTTGCCAACGTTGTAGCAGCTATGGGGGCCCCACTATGTACTTGGTGGCTCATCCCACGGATCGTAAGTGGGTTAGTTCACCCATTTATAAGTGGATTAACCCTACTTAGACTTATCCCATTTGTAGCTGGGGTCATAACCCATTTACGAGCCGTGGGATGAGCCACCAAGTACGAGTGCTTGCTTTTGGAAGGAGCAACTGTTTGAATCGTACAATCCGACCACATGATTCTGGGTACCCGGCCTGGTAAACATACAAAAAGCGATGGAAAAGCGATGGAAAAGCGATGGAAAATGGCCCATAGTTAAATAGGTTGTTTACCATGGTTTACCATGGTGTACCGAACTTAAAAATGGTGGTTTTCCATCATCCCTATAGGCCGCATCTTTTTAAAGGTGAACGTGAGGCCTCCAATTTACCCAGATGGTTGATAGGTTATTGTAGTAGGGGATTGATTATCTACTACCTGGTTATTGTAGGGGACTATGATAAGCCACATTATTTGGATGTATACTCAGATTATAGATATTTATATTTACACAGATTATTGGATATGATTGGTTTCCAGTGGGTTCATTGCTGGTTCGTATCCTCGCGGTTCCGTCCCCAGAATAATCGTTTCACAGCAATCCAAAATTGTAGTATTGGTATGTATTGGTGATGAGATATGTATATATATATGTATATATGTATAGTTATATATATATATATACATACATATATATATATATATATATACATACATTTACAGTGTGTATATATATATGCTGTATACGTATTATGGTTTCATAGGGGTAAATCGTGGGGTTTCAGCCGCTCCAGGAGCATGTTTTTTCTGGTGATTTCCAGCCTCTGCAAGCTTCGCGATGTGGATTCTGCCATGGAAGTGCCATCCCCAGTTCCCAGATTAGCGAAGACCATGGTGCTGGGATATAAAAACCTACAAAACTGGGTGATTTTGTGGACTTTTGGGCAGTTTTGTTGGTTTTTATATTCCAGCACCATGGCTAGAAAATATAGGGTTGGTATTCCCTTCAACCCAATCCAGTGATGGTGTCCTAGAAGTGCTATTAGATGAAGGGACAACCTGCAGGAGGAGCCATGTGTTAAAGGATAAACATCCAGGTTTCTTGCAGATGTTCGCTTCAATCCACTGAGAGTTGGGGGTTTTGTTGAGAGATGGATAGGAATTACTTGTATATTGATATACAATCTGGAAAATCACCATTTATCGTTAAAAAAATTTAATCACCATTTATCATTGTGTTTTCATGGTTCCATTGTTTCTATTCATTTATCTTTTGCCATGAATGGGCATGAAATATTGATATACAATCTGGATGAATTGCACTTCACTGTGACGGCACGGAAATGCTGGCATTGGGAAAAATCATCCCCATAGCTGGCATTATGAGAATTATCTTAAGGTGCATGAATTCTTGTAAGTCAGCCAGGTACTGAAATGTCTGGTTGGTGGTTTGCAACATTTTTATTTTTCCATATTATATTGGGAATGTCAAAATCCCAACTGACGAACTCCATCATTTTTCTGAGGGGTAGGTCAACCACCAACCAGAATGTTTAGTTCGCCAGATGTTCATGGTGAACAGATTCTGCGATCGAGTTGTTAGTATGTTGTCATGTTGATTTCTTTTGATGGAGAGCTAGAGTTGACATAGACATTCAGCTGCCACTGGCGAATCCGTCGTGTCTATCAGGTGCCTATGGTCCCTGGGGGCCATCACTGAACAGGATAGCCTGGTCAGTACAAAAGATCCATGGAACCTCTCACTCCATTTCCGTTTAACGTCCCCCACCTTTTCCAAAAGATACCCGACTTGTGGTTGATGTTGTTCCCAATATCCCATGATATCCCGATGTTTAATTCTTAAATCACTATTTGTCAACCCATAAAGTTGATTATATATGATTAATTAATCCTGGAAGGAATTTCCACTACA